TGTTATTTTTCCAGTCACTTATAACACATTGCAAGGCTGTCTCACAAGAGTAAGCAGTCCTAAATCCTGATTGATAGGACACAAGAATGTTTTTGGCATTTATATATTCTATAATTTGATTATACACCACTAACTCCAATAATTTTTCACAAAATGGTAACATGTTTATAGGTCGCAACTCTTCAGCCAACATTGTATTACAGACTTTGGGGACTGGTGCTATAACCGAGGTTTTGAATTGATTTGGTAATTTTCCTCTTTCTAAGCTAAGATTTATCAAATATCTCAAAGGATATCCTATGACATCAAAGATCGATTTGATGAGTTTCAGATCAATTTCATCGACGCTTCCATTTTTATGCTGGGTACATATAACTTTATCCTCATGTTCTATTCTATTTGAACTGTCGATGAACCCACATGAGGCTGACTTTCCTAGTTTTTGCCATATTTTCTAAGGCACTTCTACACTCGGACACTAAATTGGTGTCCGAGTGTAGAAGTGCCTTAGAAAATATGGCAAAAACTAGGAAAGTCAGCCTCATGTGGGTTCCAGGACACTCTGGTATCCCGGGGAACGAGGAGGCAGACAGATTAGCCAAGATCGGTTCAGGAACGACACCCATTGGACCAGAACCGATATTGGGAATACCCAATAGTACGGCTATGTCCTTCATGAAGGAAATGCTACAGAGGCAGTTCCTTGAAACATGGTGGGACACACCAGGAATGAGACAATCAAAGCTCCATATAAAGGAACCTTCAAAAAGGCTCACGAGATCCTGTCACTTAATAGAAGGGATCTCAAGATAGTAGTTGGGCTCTTAACTGGGCACAACCACCTCAACAGGCACCTAGAACTCATAGGGATCAAAGATGATCCCATCTGCAGATGGTGCTTGGAGGATGATGAAACATCATCACACATACTCACTGAATGCCCCGCGCTGGTGCATCAGAGGAAAGCTGCCTTTGGGAGCATTGTACTGCACCCAAAGGATGTGAAAGTGACTCAGCTGAGGAAGCTGCTGAATTTCGTCAAAGAAATCGGCATGCCCAGCTGATTCACAGGACAAGTGGGCGCACAATGGGCCCGACTGAAGAGGCCTGAGTGCAGGGGTCTACGCACCCGCCCACCTGTGCAGAGAAGAAGAAGAAGAAGAAGAAGAAGAAGAAGAACTGTCGATGGCATTTTCATGCAATCACTTTTTTGTCGTCACTAAAATTCCATGATTTTTACATATTGTCAGATATAATGAGTAATTTGCTTTTATTTATTGCATTGAGAAGATAAAATCCCTAAAATTCTAGTGAGAAATACATTTCACATCCTCGATTACCCTACAGAGAAGAGTATTCAGTTGTTTTTGAGTATGCAATGAATTGAACCTATCCTATCATCTGTGAGAAAATCGAGGGGAAGAATTGATTGGTTTTGATTTTTTGGGAACTTCTTTTTTAGTTTTTACTCATTGCTCCCTTCCTAAATAAGTATGTAAGTCAATAAGTATACAGCCATTCTTTTCCTGTCATCTCAACCAATTCTTCTTCGGTAAATTCGAGGTGAAGAATTGATTGGTTTCAAAATTAGATTTTTTTAGATATTTTAAATCGGTTTTTCCAATTTTCTTCCCTCCCAAGGTATGTAGGTCAATGTGCATACAGCCATTCTATTTCTATAATCTAAACCTATTTTATGTTGGAAAATGAATGTTAACAATTGGTTGGTTCGAGAATTTTATTTTTTGATGGATTTTCAATTGTTTCTTATATATATTGCTCATCTTCCAAAGTATTATTTTCGAACTGATTTATTTGAACTGAAGAAACACTAATTTATATCGAACTTATAACTACTATTTATGTAACACGATTTATATCACGCGGTATATGACTGTCTCTCTGACACTCGCTGCTTGACTGACTGACTGCAGTTGTTCGGCCGTCCATATAAATATCCCTTGGTAGGCTTTGCTTCTCGAACGTTCTCGAATGATCTTCCGTACCCTTCTTTAGAAGCTTCTTAGAACAATACTTCTCTCTCTAATAGTTCCAACGATTGTTCCCAGATCATTCCATACTCTTCTGTCACGTTATTTGTCACCGCGGCATATATTGAGTGTTCGGAAATATGCTGGTACATGTGTAGGAATCATTTGGATGTTGGAGAACAATCTGGGATGCGTGTTACAGGATGATCGTTGTACTCCTGCCTTCCTGATCATGTTTCTAGAGCCCCTCTAAGGGAAATATCATTACAGTATGTTGCTCCTCTCCCAAGGTATGTAGGTCAATGTGTATACTGCCATCATTTTTCAATCATCTTAACTCATTTTCTTGTGGGAGAATGAAAGTGAAGAATTGTTTGGTTCGAAAATTTAATTCTTTGAGGGATTTTCATTAGTTTATTCCAATATTGCTCATCTTCCAAGGTATGCTCTTCTCTCAAAATATGTAAGTCAATGTGATACCGTCATTCTTTTTCTATCTTCTAAGCCTATTTTTCTGTGAGAAAATCAGAGTGGAGAATTTGTTGGTTCAAACATTTTATTTTTTGCCATTCCTTATCCTTCGTATTAGAGGCACAAAATAAATGTGTATAGATTCGGAATCCTAGTGACATTTCAAGTCGGTTTTGATGGTTTTCAACAGGAAATTTTGTCGAGAAGAATATACAACTTTGTTATATATGTTTATTAAAGACACAAAATTTAGTCCATATAGATTTGGAGTTCTAGTGACATTTTACGAAATTAGCAATTCTTGAAGTTTGACGTAAATATAAAACTTCGTTTTCCTTCGGATAATAGAAGAAAACTCCATAATTTCATCTATGGAATTGAGAAAACCATTTTCCATATGAAGAGAGATATGTTGATATTATTGTGAATAGTGATATCAGTGTGGGAAAGTTTATGGAAAATTTAATCCCTCTTCCAGAATTGAATTTCAATAAAGAACTAACTCAATATCATAAAACAGATTACATTCAACAACGGATACAACGTTGATTTGATTTGAGATTATTTCCAAAAGACTCCGTAATAAAGCAATTCAAGAAGTTCATTCTACTTTCATAAACAATAATCAAAATTATCGACCTCAAACCTATAACGGTTCATCAGTTGAAAAATTAGATTCATTTCTACATAATCAGGACTTGAAAGTGGCCTATACAGAACACATATCACGTTGGGTTTATCAGGAATAATAAAAGACAAAACTTCTGAATTCGAAAAATCAGGGGTATACAAACTTAAATCTGAATCTTGTCCTGAAGTATATATCGGTCAGACAGGTCAAACGTTCAATCAGCGCATTCAGGAACATAAGATGAACTTTTTGAAAAAGAAAACAAATCCAGCATACGCGAACCATATATTTGGAGAAAACCATAGCTTTGATGATAATCTCGAAATTCTACTCGTAGAAATTGAAGGTATCAAACTTAATCATTCAGAATCATTAGAAATCAACAAACGAAAAAATTGTAACATATTGTTTAACGATCAACTAGACCTCATCGCAATAATTCACCGCTGTTGAATTTGTTTTCTTAGTAGTAAATAATATCAACTTATTTGCTATCAACCCTCTCATGTTAATCCGGTAAATTGTATTTTAATGTGGATATTCTGATTCTAATCTTTCAGGTTGGGAAAGTAGAAAATAAAAGCGCTAGGCATGCCAATGTACGTTTAGTTTATTGTATCAGTATTTCACCTGAAGAAGCTACTGTGTTATCGAAACATGTCGTATGATCAAAAATTTTGTACAAATCCCATCGTTTGTTAAGTTTTCCACATTTACTATGGATTTTCATCGAGTAACGGCCGAGTCAATTCAGAAATAGTATATTATTCAACGAGCGCATAATAATGGCTATTACCCACGAAGATGAAAGTTGCAGTACGAGGCGAAGACGAGTGCTGTAATCATCTGAGTGGGTAATCTTCATTATGTGCGAGTAGAATACTATACTTTATCTACAACTATTCAAATAATGAAGGTTATTATATTGCAAAATCACTAAATCCGATTTAAAATACTCATTAATTTCATCGAAACCTTATTGGCAGAATTTTCAACCAATTGATGTCAACCCTGTAAAATATATCTACCTACGTATAGCTTAAGAATTTGTGGTGGCGGCTTTTATTATATAAGTTATAACAATGAGTTGGGATACAACGGTTTTTGGGAATTACTCATGATGAAGATGAGAACGGTCGATGAATAAACACGTTAATAGTTGATACCAACGAGTCTAATTTCACAAGGTGGCAACACTATGAACAGCTTATAACTTATTTCTGTAATTTGTGAAAATATGACAAACAATGTTGGATCTGACTTACATTAACAGGAAAAAAGTCGTGCAATCACCATATACGTATTAATGAACATATCACATATCAGTCAATCTCACCAGGTATTATCTGCCATTTCACTTTTCAGTTGTAAAATGAATCATACTATTGCAGATTATTCATTAACTTGCTTCCGCTGGGATGATTAATTGTAGTACCCTGTCTCTAGGCGCTAGATATCAGCAATGAAGTTCCAGGGTTCTGATTGGTCTGTACTAATTTATTCGAATAGCCCGCATATAAGTGTGAGCCAATCTGCAACTGTCCAAGTCCAATTTTATGGTTATGGTTATTATTGAGAATGAAAAACAGTGAATTCTCATTTTTCCGTGTATTTGTAGAATTGAGGTGATTGAAACTATGAGAACCATGTAAGGTGAGTCTTTTGAATTTGCGTGTATTTCACAAACAGTAGTATAGTGGTGTGCTTCAGTAGAACTAGTAGAACGAATACCTACCTAGTTGAATTTGACAAGACGATGGGATGTCAGATTATTACGCCATCCTACTGTCATTATTACTCTTATTACTCGATTCATCACAATAATGTCTGTCATTAAATGTTGAAAATCGAGTTAGCAATGTATGAATGACTCCATAGTTGTAGATAAAAAAATGATCTATACTCACTTGCAGTAAAACAGTCGGCCATCTTTGTTGGCGTGCAGCGTCCATCCGGGCGCCGGTGCGTAATCGACCACGTGACCGAGCGTGCTGTCCTGCCCGCGTCCGGCGCCGGTCACGTCGAAACCTTCGGGGGCGGTCTGGGGTCCGGCGCCGGCGCTGTCACCGGCGCCGGGTCGCGCCGCCGGTCGCAGCATCGCGAGCGTCGCGGCGGTCGGCCGACGCTCACCGCCGGCACGCAGTCTGCGGGGAAACATAGGGAGGTTAGGTGGGGCGGTGTTGCCGATCGTGCGGGATAATCCGTAGATTTGGAGAAAACCAAGCAACAAATGAATATGAAAATGTATAAAATGTCATGATATACACGTCTGAAGTATTTTAAACGATGCGGCGTTGCCGACTCTAATGGAAAGTAACTGCAACTTCGATTTTTCAAATGATATGATGATGAATTTTTCATAATTGCATTTTTAGATTCTTCCTTTTTTTCAAGTTCTGGTTCCCACGAAGAGGGATATCCTGTAATGTTCTGAGAACATCGTGAGAACCAAGGAAAATAAGGTAGGAATTGGTGTTCTTCTTAAATTTATGGAGGTTATATGCCTCGGGGAACACCTTCCTTGGCAATGTGTTTTAGAGCCTCGCTGTTCCTTGGATGAACGAGTCTTTGGAAAGAGATGTTCTGCAGGGTTCGAAAGTGACCACAAAGCGGTGCGAAGCCTCAACTCGACTGGTTAATCTCGCGGGGACTGCCAAGGGAGGAACAATTGTTGATATTTCAGAAGAGCATCGTCCATGGAAATACCTATAAAATAGAGCCAGATCGCCAACTTTTCTACGGTGTTCCAGAGAAGTGAGTGAGTTTGTGAGCGAGGCATCACCCACGAGACGAATTGCCCTTTTTTGGACAGAATCCAACAGTTTCAGGGTTTGTTTGGGTGCTGCACTCCATATATGGGAACAGTATTCCAGGACAGGTCAGATCTGTGCCTTATAGATCATAAGCAGCTGACTGGAAGTGAAATAGCTCCTGGCCCGAAATAGAAAACCAAGTTTTTGGGATGCACTTTTAGCAATTGATCTCACGTGATTTTCCCAAGGAAGGTTATTGCTGATAGTAATACCAAGCATCGAAATGGATGTCTTCAAAGGTATGGTTACTCCTGACAAGCTTATGTTCGGCACAGTGGGATCGGCTTTTCTAGAGAAAAGCCATGCTTGTGTTTTGTTTCATTGAAATCTACCAAGTTATTGGATCCCTATTCGAGAATTGTTGCCAAGTCCATGTTTATGTTGTCAATATTTCTCCCTCGTTCGTTTCTGATTTGCCTGGCTGGTATTGGTGCCCTGGAAGAGAAAGGCGGTATGGAGGGTACTATCATCTGCGAAGCTGTGTACTGGACATGAAGTTGCTTCCAACAAATCGTTGATATGGAGTAGAAATAGTATTGGTGCTAGAATTGATCCTTGCGGAACACCAGCATCTATGATAAGAAAGTCTGATGAAACTCCGTCGACCACTACATGGAGAGACCTGTTTGAGAGAAAACTAGCTAGCAGAGAACATAGCTGGGGAGAGGCAAGTCATAAGATGGAAGCTTGGCGAGGAGTCCGTGGTGCCAGACTCGATCGAATGTCTCAGAGATATCAAGTGCCACGTCTAAGGTTTCACCATATTTTTCAATAGATTGCTGCCCTATGTCTCTGTAATCATTGAACATTGATGAAATCAGCTCTTCAGGAAGAATCTAAAAATGCAACAAGAAAGTGAAAGATCTTTGTGGTTTATGGCAGCGATTCAAAGTCCCAACCCTATATTAACGTGAATAAAAATAAGATGTTGAGTTATGACCTATGACATCGTTTTTCAAGAAGAAATCTCAAATGATATCTTTTTTTTTTGTTGACAATGTTGCCGAATCTCATATTCTGTCTGAAATCTTCATACAAATTTTGAGAATAATTCAAATTGGATTAATAAAAAAAATGCTAATAACATTCGAAACTTATTGCAAAATGGTGATTTCATGAGGATGTTGCCCACTTTTCAGACTCATTCATGAAACCACGGATTAACATTCGAAATGAATCAGAACACAGAATAATTAATGTGTGCGTTGTTGCCAACTCTGAAAGCTTCTCTGTAGCATGGATGAATGACTGATCCAAATTGATTGCTTTTATCACAAAGATGTGCCTACTTACCTACATACCTATATACATAAGGAATATAGCTTTTCGAGAAATTTACTCATTAATAAAATAACATTAATTTACGAACTCTATAAATATTTTTATAGGACCGCCACTGCGCTATATCAATCGACTTCCCAAATTAGTATTTAATATACCATAGTTTTTTTCCACTTTTGCTTTTTACATCACGTGCACGCTTGCCATCTGTAAAAACAATGATTTAACAACGGATGATCTATGCCATATGTTTCAATAATAAGAAAGTGTGTGGCTGAAGACAGGCCAGACTTAATAAATCATCTGCCTAATTGATTTCCATCCAGTGAAGATTTTGATACTTCTTATTCGGCTCATACAATATTTTTGTTTTGTATTTCCTCTGATCTGATCATTTTCGATTTTTGTTATTAGTGAGTCTATTTTCTTGACATAATTTCGTTCACATCCAATATACATGGTGTGACTGATTAGGTGACAAGGAATCTCTCCCTTTTTTTTTGCACTCATCAAAATAATACTTACAGTTACATATAAATTTAGAATTTTGAACCTTGACACCCTGAAATATTTTCATTTCATCTGAACATTTTGGACACCTTGTATAGACTCTAATTGGACATTTCTGCGAGGAGTCATTGAAATTCTAGAAAATTGGAAACTTGAAAAAAAAAATCACGTGCAAACGTGACACTGATACCAAACAAAAACTGCTAAATCTAGTTACCTCATTAAAGCAGTAATTAAAAGTGAAAGTAGATAACCTGTATGAGAATCGAGGCAGGAGTTATCAAATAATACGATTATTCCGTATCATTCAACAACAAATATCACTGCTGAATATACACTATACGGGGGACTGCAAATAATTACCTGACTTCAAATAGTTCGAATAGCAAATGATTTAATCGGCCTGTTCCTCGCGAATTCACTGACGTACACTGTTTTTTTCCCAGAGCTCCGTACATTTTTCAAATAATTATTGAAATTCACGATATTTCATATTATTATGTTAATCTACCTTGAGCAATCCAATATCATATAAGATTCGAATTTTCTGGACTACTGTGTAGATAACAGATAACACAACACATTACTGAAGAATCATATAATCGGAGGATTATATTTGAAAATTCGCATTATTTGGCGCCGTGGCCGAGTTTGTCTATGCGCTGAAATTCTCTAGATAGCCGTTCACGATGCGAAGGTCCTGTCGGTTCGAATCCGGCTATCGGCTGAGCATTTTTCTTTGAAATGTGTGATTCATGGTTGTAATCCTGGCAGCATCTCGATGCCCTAGAAGTGGTTCGATTCCACTATAAGCTGTAGGTCCCGCTCTTCCTATCCCCGCACAAGTTTCGACTTCTGGGGAGTTGGTTCCCAACTTTGAAGTAGCGATATTAAAAAAGACTTCACTAGATGGTAGGAAATTGAAGATGAAAGTGACAGACGAGATTGACGTTGTAAAGTTAGGTCAAACCAAGGGTTAGACCTCACGTTTGACTTATTCTTTCTTTCTTGATATTTTTGTGACCTCTTATGAATTGAGCTGTTGCCAGGGCGAATGCCAGAATCAAAAAATAATTTGGATCATTTTCATAGAAATATTACGTTATTCCTATTGGCACTGGGGCATTTTGTTCGATATACAGGGTATGTCACGAAGAGCTTACACTATCCCTATATCGAGTATCAGTCGTGAGAGATCCATGAAAATATGAATGCTTATATTTTAGAATACGCTTTCTTCATTTGAAATATTTTCAAAAATGCAGTGTTACCGCTTCTATCAAAAAGTAGCAACAACTTTGTTATTTCAAATAGCTCGGAATACCCTGTTTTTTATTGCATTTTTAAATTATCCCTAAAGAGCTGATTCCATCGATAGATCACACTTGATTACAGAGGCATAGGCTGTTCAAAATCAAGATTTTTCAACTTCAGCATTTGTGTGTGTCGAAACTATTCATTATCGGCCAAAACCGCTCACATATCCCTATCTCAACTATTGATTTACTGTTTACTGATATTTAATCAGAACAGATACAGGGTCTTCAGGAAGAATCTAAAAATGTGATGAAATACATGGTGTTTCATTCGAAATATGAATGTTGCTACTCCTTTCCAGAAGAAGCGGCAACACTGCATTGTCGAAAATATCTCAAATGAAGAGGTATTCTGAAATATCAGCATCCACATTCTCATGGATTTCTCCCGACTGATTCTCGATATAAAGCTCGTCGTGACATACCCTGTATGAGTATTCAATAAGTGATTATTGGAGACCTGGTGAAGCCACTGTCTTCTGTGATGTGCATACTGTTGTAATTGGTCATATTGAATCTCATAAGGTAATTACTATACGAATAAATTATGAATGCAATAACTTGAATTGAGATAACCATGACTTTCCGAAGGTGTATGATGTCATCGAGAGCTGGCGTTTTTCGAAACTTCCGATTTTAATTGTTGGAAAGATACATGTATTTGTGATGATTTTGAATAAAGATTGATTGTAGGGCTTCGCGAGATCAAGAGTCCAGTCTTGGTCTTGTCTTGGTCTTGATAGAAGACCAAGACCAAGACTTGACTTTCGAGATCAAGACCAAGACTCTCCGAAGAGTCTTGGTCTCGAAAGAAAAATAATAAACTTGAATCTTCTCAATATTGAGAAAAATCTGATGGGAAATGTAATGGCATCTTATTTCAGTTATTCATTTGTCATATACAATGGTAGGTTTTTAATATTTGTTCACTCAAAATCCGAAATACATTTTTCAAATTCAGTATTGCAGTTTTAAAGTTTACAACAAATAGGTGTATGTTGTAAGGTCACAGTGGTCTATACCCCCTGCAATTGAAGATAATATCTTCAATTGAATTTGTTTATATTATAAACAAATTTAATACAAAAGTTATTTGGTTTGAATTTGAAATTTTTTGAAATATTTCGATAATGCGTTGTTGTCAGTTCCGACCCTTTTGAACCTTTTTTCTGGCCTGTCGGTCGTCGGCCTGTTTGCTGTTTGGGTCTCATTTAATGTTTATTT